ACATTTTGCAAGTAAACGTATACGTGGCACGGAACGTGTTGATATACCTGCATTACGAAGTTAACCCTCCTATGGTGGTGTTCCACAGGTCGTGTATGAAGCTCGTGTAACTTTTTCACCTTGTTACCGCCTTGCTGAAGTATCGTTTATCGAATTCTGGTAATAGGATAAAACTGCCCGATGCGAGGATCCATTGTATTTTCAAATCATAATTTCCAATTAAAAGTTGCCGATATTTACGAAACGATCAATACATTTAATATACACTGCAAAAATGAAAGAACCGTTACTGGATATTTATTGAACTTGTAACATTTCACTTTTTTCCCCTGTTACCCCAAAATATTAACCTACAATCCCGAATCACCTCTGTCATATTTTTAAAGAGCAGAAAATATTTTCAAAGGAACATGAAATTTTGTTAAAGCAGCCGCATCTCTAATTTCTAAATGACTTGTGTCATAGTATCAAATGTTTTTCTACAGAATATAAAATTGATAAAAGCACATCGGCTTGCGGTAAACAGAACACTTCGTCGTTAACGAAGTCCGGCCACGTCGAACGGGAACGGCGGAACATCGAAGAAGCGGTCGCAGCATCGATCAGAAATTTCCGAGCCACTCGGCGACAAACCAGTTAGCACGCGAGTTCCCGCGTAACTTTCCAATGAAATTTTCACAAGGTGTCCAGGGCTATGCGACGTCCCTCTTCGGTTCCTGTCGTCAAAATCGCGGCCATCATCGCGCCGATGTTTAAATCGTATCAGCAGCCACCGACAGTGTCCCAGCGTGGCGAGACGAGGCGACGTCCTCGCTCGCGAGTATAAACACACTACTCGAATCCTGGACGGTGTTTCGCTGGAAACGCGGGAATAACGCGAGCACCGAAATTAAATTTGTCGACCGGGATTACCGTGTCCCGGTTCTAATTACTTTAAATTATTTGCCGTGATTTTTCCTCTCCTTCCGTTTCACCGCCGCCCTTACCCTCGTCTCGTTGCATCGCGCTCGTGGATACGCTTCGCACAAGTGTTCCAATCCCCCCGAGAATGTTTCCGTGTTCTGCACACTAACTAGAGCTTTTTGTCTTGAATTTCGTACATTTGTTCGCAATTTATCAGGTTCTGGATCGTTCTATAATATATATATTTATCGATTATTATTTTTATCAAGAACCGAGCGAAATAAAAGAATAAAAGAATTGTGAAGAGAATTGAAAACTGGTCGAAAGGAAAGAATTAAACAAATTAAGGGAATTAAAAACTGGACAAAATAAAAGAATGTAAGAATCAAAAGGATTAAAAACGGAACAAAAGAGAAGAATAGAAGAATTAAAACGATTGAAAGCTAAACGAAATGAAAGAATAAAAGAATTGAAACGATAAAAAGGCAAACAAAGTAAAAGAATAAAGAAATTTAAACACCGAGTTATTATATAGGACTAACGTATATTGTTGTATAATAATGTCAAGATTGTGTTCATTGCAGTTTTATACGATCTCAGATAAAATTAATTTTGATATCTGGAAATAAAGAGATGTTGATCGTAAAATTAGCACTCGCAGGTGTCGCTTTTAAGAACACTCCTAACAGAATCATTTTTCGTAAGTCTTAATCGGTGGCATAAAATTTTCTTTAAAAATATATGGAACGAATCGAATGTGCACTTACTATTTGCTTCTGCATCGATCGATCTTTCGGAATAATTGTTGGAAATTCGTACAAATCGGATCCGACGTTTCTCAAAATGACTATTCTAGACAGACTATTCGCCGATTTAATCGTGAAATTATAAGGTTATATCAAGGAAATTAATTATAAGTATCTTATTGGAGATTAGCAAACCCATTTCGATATGCACCGTGTTCCGGAAAGATCAATAATGACACGAGTGCATAAAATCTGCAGTCTACTTATCAGATATCATTGTTTCCACTAGTATGTATCCCTCGCCTATCGGAGTCATTTTGACCCGGCTGCAGTTAACTATCCTGGATACTGTTCTTATCGCTTTGCCATAAACAATGGAGTATCTGCCGCGGTGGTATAGGCGTAGCGCATGCTTTCGGAGAATGCACCGAAAGAACTATAAACGTGTATCTTTTCATCCGTTCCATTACCATATATTTTTCGTAAACGTGTTTCGACAAAGTAATAGCGGGGAAATCCAATAGGGAACATTCGCGCTGTTCGTTCCAGCAGTTTTCAGCCGGAGAAATAATCTTTTGTTAACAGATTTGTAAAGGGATCATTTATGGAAAAGCATGTTTACACGGAAATTCGCTGGAATTTGAAATTTTTACTTGCGCGTGCGTTCTATTACAGCAGAACTTCGTTTATCCGCGCTTTGTTTCTACGAACGAATTAAATGTTCTACCTCAGATGTACGAACTCATAATTGAGCCTTCATTATCCAAACTACTGTCGGGAATATCCTCAGTTATACAACAGCGTATTCCTATATATGTATATGAACACATAATTAAATTTCAAAACGGAATAATGAACGAAACGGTTAATTATTAGTAGCATAGAACAATAATTTTTAAAAAGAACGAACAATATAATTAATTAGTTATAAGAAGAATAAGAACTATGAAAACCGCTCCATATTTCGATCGATGTTGTTAGATTACGGACATCGAACGGTAAAATATGCTGCGTAATATTGTATTTAATAATACTGTATAATATTGCATTTAATAATACTGAATAATATTGTACTTAATAATACTGTATAATATTATATTTGGTAACACGGCATAATACTGTATAATATCGTATTTAATAATACTGAATAATATTGTACTTAATAATACTGTATAATATCGTATTTAATAATACGTTATAATACTGTATAATATTATATTTAATAATACGTTATAATACTGTATAATATTGTATTTAATATTACGTTATAATATTGTATAATATTGTATTTAACAATACGTAATATAATATAATATCATAAATATTTAATAATATGATATAATACTGTATAATATTGTATCTAATAATATACTCTATATTATTCACAAATGAAACTAATCAATTCGATAGTAAAAGTGATCTACTTCTAAAATTGCGTTGTCACGTAAACCGAACTTACCAAACAAGTCCGATGTTACAAGATTTAGTATAATTTCGATCTGCACCCTTTATCGGAGCATCGATATCAAATAGCGAACGGAAACCGAGAAATAGCTGAAAGAATAAGAATAAAAAGAGAGGAAGAAGATAATCTGAAACGTGTGCCTGGAAGATCCAATAAGAGAACTCGAATTGGCGTTGTTCGATATTCGCCAGAATTTAAGTATCGGCCGCGCGGGCCGGGCCGGGTCGCGCCGCGCTGGCAGGTTCAAATGAAAAACAGCTTTACCATTTGCTTTGAAAAGGAAAACAGAAATGTCCGGTATTTTCCGGAGGAATTAATTCACGCTCGGATTAAAATGAATTTCAATCAATTTATATTCTCGGGAATCGAACTTTTAAATTGGACTTCGGCTTCTGTTCAACCCCCGGGCAAAAGCGAAGCGTGTTTCGAGAAGGTCGTAGATCGTTCCTTCTCCATGCATTATGCAACCGTCACGAACGAGACGAAAGGACGTCGAGGCAGAAGTCGATTAACGGCGAAGAAATAAATTCCTCCGTTTAACGAATCGAACGAAGGAAACGGCTCGCCGCTTTTCAATTCCCCTTCGGGGGCCAGCCGGGCACAAAGCCGCGGATTTGGTGACGAATTACGTTTCGAATATTCGTTTCACGCCCGTTTTTCCTGCCTCTCGCCGCTGCTTTCCTCTCCTCGTCCTCGGCGCCGCGCCGAGCCGAGTCGAGCCGCGCGGTTAGAAGGGTCGACTTGACTCTGAATGATCAAAACACCTACCTACGTACACACCAAGGTTGGGCAGAATTTTGTTCGGACGACAAATTAGACAAACGGAGACCAACGGATAACGTTCTATTTGTTTAACACATTGACTGCCGCGTCACCCGTATTCGGGTGACAACAAAAGTTCTCATCAAGCCACGTGACCCGTAATTCGGGTGACGCTGATTCGACTACTTACAAAGGATTTCCGAAAATATTTCGACAAATATTCTACAGGAGCTAATGAAACTATTGAATTCTTATAAAAATGGTTTATTAAAAAAATTATTCGCAGTGTATAACATTGAAACATTCTCTGCAAAGTTGAGGTTGATCTGGACAGCTTGGACAAAAAGTTGTTTGTTTTTTCAGATATGCTCGTGCCTCTGATCGGTTCATTTCGTATCTTTTATTTGAACTGTAGCTTCCTCGGTATCATCAACATTTCTTTCTTCTTCCATGACCAATTCTCGTAAAATCTCGTCACAATAGTATCTTCGTAACATTCATTATCACTAAGATTATATTTATCAGTATCCAAATCAGAATCTGACGATGTAATTTTATTTATGCTTCTCCTTCCGGACAATCCGATCTCTTTTCATTATTGACAAAAATAAGGGCAGAGATTTTAAGTTTTACCATTCGGTACTCGGCAAAGATTCCAACTGTTCATGCAGGAACAGAAACAGATATGAATTAACAGCGCACGCTTCCTATAGCGGCACGGGTGGCCTGTAGGAGATTTTGTTGTAAATACGCGTGGCAGTCAACGTGTTAAATGTACAATCGAATACAAATTTATTTACGCAACATGTTGTCCGAATAAGATTTTATTCGAACAAGAATTTATTCGTACAAGAATTGATACGGGAGGAATCGGTTCAAATAAAAGTGATAGAATATAAAATTTTTCTTTTTTTACGATTTATCGATTTATTTCTTTATATTTCTTTTCTCGAACGTTGCATCGGAACGTTTGTTACTTTCGAGTAGATCAATCATTGATGTATAACCGAATTTTATCGTTCTATACTCGTTCGAAATTGAACCGATTTTGAACGTATTCGTGCAAATATATGCTTATAAAAATACGTACAAAAATGTAATAAAAGTTCTCTTTTTTCTTCTAGGATGGAACCAAGTCCTGCTCCCACGACAATTTAATGACCGAAGTAAGTGACTTTGCATTTAACAAGACGTCAATATGTGACAAGTACGATGAAATATACGTGGTATTTGTTTATTGTCAATGTTGAGATGAGACATTCCTCGAGAGGCATTTATTTTGCTACTACTGCACAAGTTATTTGAATTATTCTGCTGATCTTGCTCACTCTTCTGCATTCGTCTACCGTAAAAGTATAATAAATATGTTACTGCACAATACATTTCTAAAAGTCAACTTTTGCCGACTACGTATTTTATGTATTTACGACAAAAACGAACAGGCTGTGAGATACAAAACGGCAAAAGTATTACAAATTCAATTACTTGAAAATCAGATATAAAAATTGTCTTCCGTCTTATTGTAAAAGTCGGTAAAGATTTAATTTAGCACACTATTTAAATAATTGTTCTGCTGCCCGAACGTTCGTCTCGTTCCGATTAATTCGAATAATCGAGGATCTATCCGGTATTTTATTTGGTACGTTCATCTATGAAATGGGCATGTTGCTGTAATATTCGCTAACACCGTTAAAGGTAAAAGCGTACTAATGCCGCGTCAGGTAAAATCACGTGAAATCATACGAATGAAATTCGTCCATTCGTGAACAGCATGGCGTAATCCTAATCTGTTTCTAACGGATTTGAAATAACAGAAATACGCAGGCTCGCACTTCTCGAATGTCGCATAATTTCACGTGAAGCGATATTAGTATGTTCCTATTTTAAATAGGAATTTAACTAAATAAAATAGCTCGAGAGCATCGACGACCGCAACTTTTCATTTCCGATGAAAATGATTTTCTCCCTAATTCGCGCTCGGATCGCGCACAAAAATGTACAATCTGGGAGAAAGAGATACGATCATTCGAGCCTCGCGGCTCGTTTTCATAATAACCGATTGTCAACAACCATAAAAACGAGACGCAAGGCTCGAATAATCGTACCTCCACTTCCCAAGTTGCCGATTTTTGTGCGCAATCCGAGCGCGAATTAGGAAGAAATTACTGTAGTCCCTTGAATCGCTTCGATTACACTGTCCGACATGATTTTTGGGTTCCTATAGTCACTATGAAATTCTTGTAGAGCTTCACTCCCTGAACAAGAATCCGAAAACCGAATTGCTCCATCATCCTCAGTTTTTTAAATAAACGAACTTTTGTAAAAACCCAAAATTTTCGACAATAATGAGGTATTGCATGAAAAGTACAAACGCTAGAAAGTTCTAATCAGTCTCAAAAGATAGAGTAAAGTTTTCCGAATATAGTGGCATGCAATTTATTAATTGTTTTTGGTCCTAAATAGCAATAAATTGATGTCAAAGTTTAAAAAAGTGTAGACGTGCGCAGTTTCTCCGCAATATTTTTGTATTTTTACGAAAAGTTTTCGGTTCGGCACGAAAACTCTACCCAGGATCGGATTCTGTAGACATTTCTGAAGAAGAAGCGGTCCGGTAGAAGCGTCGGAACGATATAAATTTCGAGTAGATCGAGAAAATGTTCGACGGCAACATGTCACGACGTTTTGCCGCCATGAGCTTCGCTGCTCGCTTCTCTGTGTCCGACAGGGCCGAAGCTACGCGTAATCAACACCGATGGAGGGATCCAATGGGGCACCCACTTTTCGTAAATAATATTTGAATTTTTTTTAGTACTTCAATGTTCTGTTTTTTTTTTACATATTTCTGTGGATAATAATCACCAAACTGTGATATATTTCACACAAAAAATCACACCAGAGTATTTGGAGTTGGTAACGAAAGTATTCTAACACTAGTATAATTTTGACTTCTACGCCATATAATTAAATAAATATTTAAATATATATTTAACGATATGTTTCCAGAAGTTTAACGTTTTGAAAATGATTATTTATTCATGATCGAATTATCGTTATAATTTAAATGATAACTGTATACATGATATACTTGTAATTCGAACAAATTCAGAATAAAATGAATATTTTTTGTTCATTATTTTTCTTTTATTATTTCTCCATTTTTAATTTATGATTCACAGTTTGGTGATTATTATCCATAAAAATATGTAAAAGAAGACAGCCCATTGAAGTACAAAAAAAAAAATGGCACGCCCACACGCTAAGTGGGTACCCCATTGGATCCCTCCATCGGTGTTGATTACCCATAGCCTCGGCCCTGTCGGACAGAGAGAAGCGAGCAGCGAAGCACATGGCGGCAAAATATCGTGTACATGTTGCCGACGAACATTTTCTCGACCTACTCAAAATGTACATTGTTCCGACACTTCTATCGGGCCGTTTCTTCTTCAGAAATGTCTACAGAATCCGATCCTGGGTAGAGTTTTCGTGCCGAACCAAAAACTTTTCGTAAAAATACAAAAATATTGCGCAGAAACTGCTCACGTCGACACTTTTTTAAACTTTGACATCAATTCATTGCTATTTAGGACCAAAAACAATTAATAAATAGCATGCCACTATATTCGGGAAACTCTCCTCTATCTTTCAACACCAATTAGAACTGTCTAACGTTTGTACTTTTCATGCAATACCTCATTTTCGTCAAAAATTTTGGGTTGTTACAAAAGTTCGTTTATTTAAAAAACTGAGGGCGATGGAGCAATTCGGTTTTCGGATTCTCGCTCGGGGAGCGAAGCTCTACAAGAATTTCATAGCGTCTATAGGAACCGAAAAATCGTGTCGAACAGTGTTACCGGAGCATATTACGGCTCGCGAATCACAGGCACAGCAAGAAACGTCCAGAGAACGTAGCAACGCGGCATGGACCCGAAAAAGGGTAGTTCGCGCCGATCCTCGGAGGATCGAGATCGCTTGCCAGGTTGCAGGATAGGCAGTCTTGCGTACGCACCGCGCCGGTTAGCTCTTGTCGCGTGTAGTACGAGCCTCGCCGAGCGGAGAGAGCGTGTGCTGGCGGTTGAATATAGCGTCGCGGATGGGTCGATAACGCGCAACTCTCTCGCTCATCGCGGAGTCGCCAATGCCACGCTGTAGCGCTCCTAAGCCGAGCTTTCCTCTCATTCCGTCGTAAGCCCGCACTCTGGCACATTCATCCGCCGCCGCCACCTGCACCGACCGACCAACCGACTGACCGACCCACCGACCGACAGACCGACAGACAGACCCCGACCGACCAACCGACCGAACCACCGGCCACTATACTTACCGCCAACCGCTATATCGTTACCGTCGTCGGCGCCGCTTTACCGCTACCACCAGCTCCGATATTCCATCCTGGCGTCGTCATCCTCAGCGACACACCGGAGCACCGCCAAGGACACCGCCGTCCTCGGCTGTCAACATCCAGCAGCGTAACCAGAGACACAGCGCGTTAGCCGAGACCCGCGATCCCGAAATCGGTCCTGAAATCGTCCAAGTGTTGGAAACCGGGTCGTCGAGCCGCGTTTCGGCGATTCGGTTGTTGCGCGCAAAGTCCCCGAGATGTTCGGCTCGCGCGGCGACCGCCGGTGAACCGGCATCGGTCGACGCCGGTGTTCAAGGTCGGCACCCACGGTGTCACTCGGTCGGCAGTTTTCTTACGGTCGGCGTCGCGTGCCTCGCGCGCGCCAGGTGATTAACAGGTTGTTGTCGCACAGCCTTTGTTGTCGCGTCTCGCTTCCGGACGGCTGGGACACTTGGCGTCGCCTTGACCCGCGGTCCCCCGGCACCCGGCGGTGCCGCGTTTACTTCGCAGAGAATCGAATTTCGAATCCCTGCCGGAGATCCCGCGGGATCCCGTGGACGTGTGACGGTGATCCCGGAAGTGTTGGCTCCCGAGTTCGTGGTAATCTTGGATTTGTGAACGGTGCGTGCTTCTCGGACCGCGAAGGCTGTTCGAACGTGGCGAGAAGAACGTGGTGCCGCGTCGGCAGAACTCGATTAGGCCAGTTGTTCTCGATCGGTGACAACGCCGCCGGGGGCAGCGTGGCCAGTGAAAGTGATTCGACGATGCTGGCCCACCCAGGCTCGGACCAGTCGATCGTTCCCTTTAAGATCATCCGCGTGCGGCGGCCCGTTCGAGGTTCGGTGCAGTGTCGTGACCAGTGATGAGAAATCGGTGCGTACGATGCGAACGTGTTCGGTGTCCAGGGAAACGCTGACTGTCAGTCGAGCCGGCTGGCTACGGACGTCGACTTGAGTCGGCCTTGAATCCGCGCTCGCATCTGCGTCCGTGCACGCGGATACGGAGGGTCTCGGTCCGACGACGTCTTTTCGCCGCGATCATCGGCGTTCTACGAGAGACGCGCCCGATCGCGTCGGTCTCGGAGGAGCACCGATCGTCCTGAGACGCGGAGAACAGGTCCTCGAGGGTGTTCCGTCGATGCTGTATCCTTTTCGCGCGCCGCGTACCGAAGCGTGGCGCGTCCTCCGTGGCCAAAGGATCGCGGCTCCTCGGATAGCACGGTCGCGAATGCCGGTGCACATTCGATCTTCGCAGGTGTCCCGAAAGGTTCCATCAGCCGCCATCGGCTGTCCCCGAGACACGTGTGCTCCCGCGCCGACCGAGAAGCTGTTCGCTGCTCCAGCAGGGATCCCGATCTAGTGATGAGCAGCGCGGCTTCGCCTCTCGCCCCCTTTAACGCTAACGAGTGTCATTTGCAAGCTGGTTGATCGCGCGATCAGTGTCGCCGGTTGTTTGTGGCGCAGTTAAATCACCAAGTCGCGAAACATTAGTGCCCCACGGGAAAATGAGGAGATCTTGTTCGTTCTTCACCTCAAGGTAAGGGCTACGCATCTTTATCGTTTTATGGCCCCGTGTGCTAACCGACCCCCTTCTCTCCCCACCCACCTCTCCACTTGTTTCCAGATCTTCTTTACCCGTTTCCCGCTACGCGAAACCTGCCCTCTCCCACCTTCCGCTTCTGTCTTTCCATCCGTCTCCCCCTCTGTCCCACCCCTTCCTCTCGCGCTCTCTCTCTCTCTCTCTCTCTCTCTCTCTCTCTGCCTCTTTCCTCTTTACACGCCACGATGTCCCTGAATGATAAATTCCTCCCTTTGGGCGCCGGCCTAT